ACAAGAGATTCCCGCATACAGTTACAGAATTTGCACGTTCCCGACAGAGCGTTTAGTTCAGTCATACAAGTCTCGATTGACTCAGCTGTTAGGCGATTGCGACCAAAAATACACATCTCTGGTAGGTTTCATTTGCTTGACCTTTGCAATATTCATCAACTCTCTTGATTGCCTCCGAGATGTGCGGCACCTGCTCATCCGCATCACTTTGATACAAAGTTTTAAAGACTCTTCTGGCTTCGTGGTCAATGGCTTGTCTGAAATTAGCAAGTTGGTAAGGAATCGAATAGGAATCCTATTGAGTCAGTGTGACGAACTCCTTCCACTTCGCCTTCCACATCTGCCGGTTGACAGATAGCCTGCTTTCCGTCATCTGTAGAGCAGTCGGTAGTCGGATCGACGGTTGTCCACCAAAAGGGAGCAGGGGCCGGCGCGTCAGATTCTTCTCTTCTGTCACCATGTTACGTGCCTGGATCTCCTAAGCGCGTCAAGAGAAAGACGATAAACCGACTCAGCACACAAAAATGCCCCCCAGATGCTGTCTGGGAAACATTTACCAGGACGTTTAGCAAACGTAGCGCAAGCATCAGAACAGAAGTCCTTCCAAACCCAAAACAAGCGTAAGTCATTTATGAGAAGCAGAACCCGTAAAGGTCTGTCTCAGAGGAATTTGGCATGGCGAAATCACCAGGACTGCCCTAATGCCGAAACCTAGACTGCATACATGACACATCGTAACTTCTGTGTGAAACTGGTCCGCGAAGACATGGTCACTTATCAGCAGGAGTTAATGAAACGATTCTGCACTAACCGCAAACTCCTGTACAGGCACATTAACGGCCTTCGAAAGGTAAAACGAGGGGGTTCCAGCGCTAGTCACGGCTGATGGATGCACACGATCAGCAATGGAAGCAGCTGATCTCCTACGGCTTCATTACTCCCAAACCTTCCAGGAGATAACGAGCATAAACATTCTCCTCATTTCTAATACTCCTCCATCTGGTTTAGAAAACATCACCTTCACTGCGGAACCTGTGTTGAAGAAGTTGTTATGCTTGCGTATCCACAGTTCTCCCGGAGCTGATAACATCCGACCAAAGGCTACAGGCTGTAGCTAGTGATCTAGCAGAACTACTGGCTGTTTTCTATCAGCGATGTCTAGAGGAAAACCGTATTCCACCAGGATGGAAGCAAGGGGTCAGCACTCCTATCCATAAAGGAGGTAGCCGCACTGATCCTACCAACTACTGTCGAATAACACTACTTCCCGTACTGTCCAAAGTGATGGAATCAACCATCGCAGACGCGCTGAGGCAATACCTCGAAAGCCACAATTTAGTAGCTCCAGAGCAACATGGTTTTTGTCAAAAGCATTCGTGTAATACTAACCTATCAATTGCACGTAATAGCTGGACTGAAGCTGTTGATGATGGAGTGGGAGTCGATGTCCTCTACCTGGACTTTTCAAAAGCGTTTGATCGTTTAGACCATCGCATTCGCCTTCAGAAGCTTCGGAACTACGGCATTGGCGATCCAATCCTGAGTTGGATTAGCAATTTTTTACAGGAACGACGACTAGTGGTGAGAGTCCGAGAATCATTTTCTCCTGCAATCGATGTGACGTGTGGAATACCACAAGGCTCGGTTCTTGGACCTCGTCTATTCTTGGTGTTCATTAAGGATTTGGCGAGATCAATTACTTCCGATTTCCTATTCTTCGCTGATGATATCAAGATATGGCGAAGGATCAGAGGACCGAACGACCATGAACGGCTCCAGCACCATCTTAACACAGTGTCGAACTGGTCAGTTCAAAACGCCCTGCCGTTCAATGTAGACAAATGTCGCGTTGTACAATTACGCCATAGACATAACCACACCTATATACTTGGGACAAACGGATTGCAGAATAGCTCTCAGGAACGTGACCTGGGTGTGATCGTACAGAGCGACCTCAATTGTTCAAAACAGGCTGAGGTAGCGGCGGAAAGAGGCAACCAGCACGTCGGCATGCTGCGAAGGGCATTCGGGAGATTTGACCCATCAATCTTCCCAATGATGCACAATTCCTACGTGCGCCCGCATGTTGAATACGCTATCCAAGCTTGGCAACCTTGGTTGAAGCGCGACCTAGAAGCGATAGAGGCACCACAACGAAGAGCAACAAAGAATGTAAAGGGCCTGCGTTACCACTCTTACCACCGAAGGCTGAAGTTGCTGGGAATTTTCAGCGGACGCTATCGAAGGCTGCGCGGCGATCTCATATTAGCGTATCAGATACTGAGTGATCCCAACCACGTATGCCGCCATTTGCTGAAACTTAGCCACAACACGCAGCTCCGAGGTAACTGCTTAAAGTTGAAGGAACAATATAGTCGTCTAGAGTGTCGACGTAATTACTTTTCCCTTCGGGTTTGCCAACCCTGGAACGCACTCCCAGACTCAGTTGTATCCTCTCCTACCTTGGATGTTTTCAAAAAACGACTAGATGTTGCTCTTAGCTCCCAACATTTTGTTACCTAAGCTCCTCTATTGTGGATTACGTCAAGCACGTTTTCAACAGGATTTATGTAACAAATGGACCTAAGTGAGCGACCATATTTTATTTTCTCACTCCTTACCTCAACAATCACTGCACCCCAGTTTCTTTCTGAACGTTTACGCGCGATAATTTTTTCATTTTACACTGATGTTAATTATCAAAGTATTCATCGCGGCTAACGTTCTACAGATGAACCAGACATATTTTACTTGCATCAAATTCACCGCAACCATCCTACGGGACTTGTCAAGCCCTTGCTTTTATCCCGTGATAAATCATTGTTCATTGTTCATTGCTGCTTATGTACACTTAGCAATGTTTTAAAAACTCAATCGCCCACTCGATTGTTCGCCTGATTGAACGCACTGGCAGATGATTCCATTCATCCTAGGTCCCAGCTACCATAACATCTGCTACGGACCTAGTTGATCCGCAGGTGGTTGCTAGCCGCAGCCGTTTCAATCCAGTTTTAAGATGATGCTCCTCTATGAGCTGCGTCAAAAATATGTCACTCTAGCGGTCTTTTACATTATAGTAGACTGTTGTGGTTAATTGCCATGTGTAAGAAACATACGAAACCTCTTTCCTTAAGGTAGATCAGTATAAAGTTTATTAAACTTCCATCTTTTTCTATGGCCACGACAAATGCTAGCTCATCGCATCCATCATCCCATATCCTTCCCCTATTACAAGTTTCAGGCACAGTATTCCAGCATAATCCAGTCCTAACTAACCAGCAGTGGCAAAACAATTTCGTTTCTGATTTCAGGAACCTACTCATTCGTTTTGCTAGTTGTGCACGTGTGAATCACTTGCACTTAGTAATGACACTTACAGCTACTAAATGGTAAGTCCTACATGACGGCTGGGGAAGCCTTAGATTTATAAGCTATCCTCGTCCTCTGCAACGTTCGTAAACTACACGACAGTTAACGATGAGTCACATCTCAGTAAATTTGTAGATCGGCGTGGTTCTCAGCCGTTACCTTTGGCCTCGTAGCAGAACTTTTTGCTATTGGTGCAAGAGGCTAGTGCTGGTAGATCAATGGCTTGGTTACTGATGGAGCCGGTGAGTGCGCATTATCAACGAGTCGTTATACGACGAAACGATCATTTCACGCTTTTTCGGAGTGGTGGCAGGTTAACTGACTTGGAAGTTGATGCGATAGACCAACAATAAAACCGCATGCAAATACACTGCTTGTGGGGAAAATTGACTCCTTATCATGATACAGTATTGCTTGCCTTGAACGAAGTGCTGTTATCAGTTTATGGCAAAAACTATCCCACTGCGGCTGTATAGCACACGTCGCACAAACAGCCCGTCAATGGTAACTATCGATAGTAGCAGTAACTGAAAACAAACATTTTAACACTAGAAACAACTGTGATCAACTTTTCTCTGTTTGTGGTCTCATTCCGCCGTGTTTGCGCAAAATGAAGCGGAAAGTGTGGAATATAAAATTTCTGAGTATAATTCGCTCGAGTCTTTGCAAGAAAATTTCGCTTTCAGTAAACATCTCGGTAGATAGAAGAAAAGAATGCTTAACTAATCATGATCACCTACCTTGTCTTACGTTTTATCATCTGCTCAGCGCTTCAAAGCTGCACACTCACGTCACTGCTCTCATACTTAGCGGCCTGACACACCTAAATTAGCCTACAATTGCGACCATGGTATTCCTCCGTAGCAGTGCAGTAGAGAGGTTCATCACTATGCACTTAGAACCTCCCGCAGCGAGACTTAGGCAACTTGATGTTTAAACTGAAATATCTTCAGCTGGAAGCCTGCGTGACAAAATCATGCAACCTTCGTTTCGGGATCATCTGCCGAGATAGGTATGCTAGTGTTATCTGAATGGACCGTTTTAATTTCTTCCGAAGCGTCATAACTTGTTGGAAACAAGCTGAGTTTCTATCACTTATAGTATCGAGTGCATCATTTCGGGCGTTATAAGATGTAACTCATTGTGTTTAGCTGGACCTTAAAATACAAAGCAGCCCCATCATAACGGGACTAATTCTATGTGATGTCGCGCCTAGATTGCAGAGGGCGGTGATGTAGGAACTTGTGGTTTACATAAATAAACCTATTAACGAGACGAGCGGGTACTTGGACTTTAAGTTATCACTCAGGAGTTGGGAAAGCTGTACCCACAGATAAAATAGATGAGCCACCGCTCGTAAGTAACAGATAGTGAGACCACTTAAAGGCGTTGACATCTGAGCTTCCGTTTTGCCACCTCTTCACCCCAGGGTTGCCTCATTTAACCTCCGAAGTGCTTGTGACCATACTACTCAGAGATGACCTCGGACAGATTGAAAACCTGGTGCTCACCTTGTACACTACACACCAAAGTAGACTTTGTTTTTGTCAAATGTTCATTCAGACCAGGATAAATCGATGGTACGTGTGCATTCATGTCACTTTTTTGTGTTGGTGGATTTGTTTGCAGTACCTCACTCTCTTGCTTCGGCAAAGTAAAGCGCACCCGGGCACGTATGAGACTCACTCCAACTACAGTGTGGATTGGTTCGACACTCTACAAGCCCAGTGACTTTTGAGGTCATACTGTTGTCAGGCGTCCGGTTGAATATCTATTAAAACCCATTCTAAACTACCGTACTTATCTATTTGGTGAACGAAACAGGTAACGGTCATGCCTGACAACAACGCTCTCGTCAAGAATGCCGACATGAGTGAGGAGATGCAACAAGACGCTGTTGAATTGTGCCATGAGGCGATGAAGAAATACTCGATGGAGAAGGATATTGCAGCATACATCAAGAAGGGGTTTGATAGAATGCATAAGCCTACTTGGCACTGTATAGTAGGAAAACATTTTGGCAGGTTAGTTGCAAAACAGCTTTTCGTTCTATTTCTGTGTCATGCGTCGTGTGATTTCCCATGCCTTACATTGTATAATAGTGAGGCTTTATCAAGTGGTGTAACCTTGAAACACCTAAACTTTATCTCCGTAATGTAGTTTTTCATAGATTAAGAATACCAGTGCTCAGTGTATCTGGTGCATAAAACCGTGTTCATTCTAACGATGAATGATATACTAGCTGACAATTTAAAGGGACTTCTTACAGCCATTGCTTGATCCGGGGGGTTCGAAGTGCACGGACTGGTAAAACGCATTCCATGCTTTTCTCACAACTCTCCTGCTTTCCCATACCGCAGAAATGAATGGGTTGTACGGGGGGTCTACTAAAATTTGTTAACGTACCTTTGTCCTAGCATTGGTCAAATGCTATGCCGGGAATCTACCGATTAATTAAATGAACAATAGAATGATAAAATATGAAAGCGGTTTCTATCAAGCAGTAACGATTTTATTCTTCTCCGTATACACATACTAGTCATTTTCGTTGGGGCAACTTTTACTTGCCTTGCATTCAGTTGTCTGAGCCTGAACCACAGACGACGTTCTATTAGCCTCGCTAATCTTTTTTAATTCAGCTGTTCATTACTGAGAAAAATCGCAAAGCCAAAGGTACCTTCCTTTTCCATTTCAGTTACGTAACACACGAAACAAGTCACTTCATATATTTCTACATGAATAACTATGCCATCCAGCTCTTCAAAGCCGGTTAGACTTGTGCATTGTTCCAACTTACATTTATAAATACAATCTTTACGTACCATGAATCACTGCTCAAAGTAAAAGGGAAATAAACGGAGTTTTACAGAACTGCTAGTCATGAGACTATGAACTGGGAATTCTGCGACTTTTAGCCTAATTTTCTTACAAATATGAGTTATAAAAGCAAACCGTATGGAAACCACGATCATCTTAAATACACACTTAAATACGAGTTGGATTCTTGTACATACGCTAGATACCTCTGGTCAATTTCGATGTTGCAACTGTGGATAGGTGTCAGGAAAATGAACCAAGGACCAGCATTCACTACTGCAAAAGTCAACGTTTCCAAGCTGGCAAGCAGCAGCAGAGAACACCGTGATTTCGAACTTGAGTAAGGTTAATAAAAAGATTCCGCATTCAATATTTTGTTAATAATATATCGTCACTTGCATACTCAAATTTAACAGGCTGTGATACAAAAGTTGTTTGGTACGGTTGCGATACTCAAAGAAACCTATCATCGGAATGGAAATATTTTCAACTTCGTGATGTCCTGATTAGCTCGAAGGAAGTGGAAGACCAAAAATACACCAGTCCTTCATCAGTTTCTGCTCCGGTCGGTGGATGAGAGTAAAAAGGAAGTGTCTAAAATCATATGACCCGATTGATAGCGTCGGGATGTGGGGGAGTCGACTTCCAGATGCTCGACTCTATGAACGATCCCAACCACTCGTTGATAGCAATCAGACTGAATCAGGCGACTTTGCATAGTTTATAAAGAGTTGAGTGGATGTTTCGCCTTATTAAAGCTAGTAAGTAGAGCGCATCTGCCGGATCGCGCTATATCCAAGACCACGACCACTTTCTCGTGGGCTGGCGAGTTGAGCCAATGGGTGAAGCAAGAGGACCGTTATGATTGACTTCTAACTACAACATAGCGTACATAGTCCTCCGCTTTCATGCTGTTTCTTCCTGTGATGGTACTCCGCCAAAATTCAAGACTGCGTTTTCCTAATACTTGATGACTGAGACGAACTGCTCATCATAAACAAAAGTCCACCACCTTTCGAATGACGAAATGGGGACTGGAACTTCGACATCTCTATGGAAACAAAAAACCAAAGGCTTACTGAATGCCGAATCTAGAGAGCTGGATATACCCCTGTGTTACTCCGTCAAATGATTGTCAAACACACACGGAAAAAGACCAAATATTACTGCACATTTTCAATACAGTTTATTTGCGCAACAGACAGTGGACGGTGCCATAACCCCACTCAAGAATGAGTCCCTCCAAACTCCTTGCACACAATTTAATAAAGGCTGCAACTGTAGAAACTGGATTTCTGTATCCCGTCGACCCGAGATAGCTGCACATGAGTTAGCGTTGTTCTCGCTATTTTTTTGCCCACAAATTACGTAATCAATAACCACCCCCCGTATTGCTTTGTGTGCGCACATTCTAATTTCAAACTCCCTTTATACGGTGGTGCAGTTAACTCTGTAATCACCCGAATCGACGATTCCATTATCACTTGATCTACCTTTTCTCACTCTAACCACCCTACGGAACATGTCAAGTACCTGCATTTTTACCCGTTATAAATCATTGTTCATTGTTCATTCTATCCCTTTTCGGTGTTTCTTTTTGATCATCGCGTGCTCCAACGAACACCATGATTGATGCGTGTCCCACAGGAACCGCGTTAGCGCGTGCTTGAGGAGAATAAAACGTTTTCTACATCAGGGCAGGATTCGAGTGTTACTCGAATAGGTCTGGGCTCTCCGCAGCGTGCAAAGTTCGGATGACGAGTATTTTGTAAAAATTTATGGGCTTGGCTTTGACACTCATCTGCACGTACAAAGAGTTCCATTGATCTTAGTCTTCCGACAATATACCACGCAATCTGACGGTGGTAGATTAGGGAAATTTGAGCACACAACAGGCAGGGCACTATTGTTGGATCACTTTTTCGTTACTTTACAAGGCACGGTACTCGTTTCTCCCAACCTGCTGACAGGTGTCAATTTGTGCGATGTCCTATTCAGCTGGGATGCGCTCCCGAAATAATTACCCTGCAAACAGGCTCTCTAGGAGTACCTTGAATTCCGACACCGATTTCGCATCGAATTTTGTCTAGGGAAAATTGTTTCTATATTATACTTTACACTTAAAACACAGAGTAACCAATCCGCATTAAATTCCATACTCCAGACTTATGGCGGTGCCCACGAGTGATACTTATCAGGCCCACCTAAAATAGCGGCTTTAGTACGAGAAAGTCACCTAGATTTAGCATTCGATACCTCATTGTGTGGTCACCTGGAAACTGAACTTACGACGGACTGTACAGCCCCATTCTCCTGCATCGTTGTTCGTACGACTTACACCCTACACAGGAGATGAGCTAGATAGCTACGTGCTGAAATGGTGCCAGTTTCTGAACCTCGCCACGGATGATCGGACAGTAGAGAGGTGAGCCATTTTTGAGAACTAGTCTTATCATGGAATAGAAGAAGTGAGTGACAATTTGTAAGATCAAGGATAAAGTGACGTTCTAGCACCTGAAACAAGTTCAGTCACCTTCAGTATAGCCTCTCCGTATTGTCCGTGGATTCATATCACTGCGTAAGGACGTAAATACTTCTTTTAAAGAATGTGTGGGATGTAGCTTTTGGCCGACCAGAGTGTACATACCGGCAGGTCGAGGTCATGCTGAAGTACCTTGAAGTCCAAGAAAGCATCGATTGTATGCTAAAGAGTGACTGATGGGGCTGAATTACTGCGTGGTGATAGAGCAGGAAGAAATGGGGCCCCGGTAGTTTGCCTTAGAGTACCCCACCGGTGGACGGATACTAGAAAGTTAGATAAGAATGCACCTGTGCCCCCTAGCTTCGCCAAATAAGGAAGTCTCTGGTATATTGATGCAGTTAGTCACCAACGTTCGCATCCACCACTTGTGAAGAAGAATCTCATGGCTCATCCCGTCGACCTCTTCAGTGAAAGCAATGTAGATAATCTCGACAGACTTCCCTCAGGTCAACACTTGTAACCACTGAAGCCTCGTCATCAGCAGGTTAGTGATACATGATCGGTCTTTAAAGAAATCGATCTGTGCCTGTGTCACGAGGTTTCTCGACTCCAGAAGTTGCAGTAGACTAGTCTTCTTCACCATCTAGAGCACAATGGCCAAAACCGAGGGCAGACAAATTGGTCAGTAATTGTCCATCTTTTCATCGACCTTTGGAATCGACTGCACTACTGATCATTTCCAGTCGTTCGGTAATGCACTATCAAACAACGGCCTGCTGAGTAGATCAGTAAAGAAAGGCGAGCTGATAGCGGATAGGGACATTGGAAGTAGTGAGCAGGACCCGTTAGGACCGGAAGACTACGTGCTGTCAATACTGGCTAGTAGGTAGGGTACATCTTCCACACCTCAATTCATGCTGTCAATTTGCACTATAGTTGCACAAATTAAATTCGGTACAGAGAGAAGGCCAGTTGAAAATACGAATAAACTGCGCCTCCAATGCGAACACACCCTGCGTATTGCAAGTTAGGGACTGTCCACCAGGATCACATAACATCGCTATGTCAACTGCAAGCCAGTAACCCCTCCTTTCTCGACGCTGCAAACTTCCCTGTGAGCTGCCGACCTTTCCGCGCTTACACTCGGTTGCCTAAGTTCCGCTGCCCATTGTACGTCTCCTAATCGTCAGCGTAGGCAGACTGCAGAGATTTATTTCATAGTAGGCGTCACTGTCGAATCAGATATCCATACTTGATTCTTAGCCAGTGTGAATTACTTAGCCCGACTTCTCAACAATTGATGCATTCGAATCGAAGGCACAAAAGGTTTACACCTTCACTTATAATAGACCGACAGACTTTGAAAGATTCCTACTGCTGCAGTGACTACTCCAATTAACTAGCGACCTGATTGGGACCAGCGAACTAGATTTTACAGTAGTTTTCAATGGCTCCTGTGGAGAGGAGTAAGTCGGCGGCAGCACTAGACTTGCTATGACTCATGTGTGATCATTCGCTCTTAGTGGCTTCAGGATCTGAACATCATAAACTTGCTGTTATCCGTGTGATACGTGTTGGCTGTCAGATGTGTTCGGTTGTCCAAGTCTCAAATATCATCTCACCAAACTTGGATTCCACTTCAAGCTGTCTAGGGTGAAGATGAATCTCAGGCCAGCGTATTTGGGGTAAGTAGCATTACTCGTCATCATTAAGTGTGGATGGCAACTAGTGTTTCGAATATGAGGGAACAATTGGAAACACCTTATTCGCAGACGATGATTGGCCAAACCAAAGAAAAGTTCACCGTGTCCCAAGTGATTCGAGCACCACAGTTGCTTGCATAGGCCAACTTCGATTCAGTAGGGATTTACCAGTCTCCTGTACAAGGAAGACTAGACGTATAGCAGCAAGCTACTTCGGTCTTTTAGTATTCAGCTGCACCGGATGCACGAGTAGTCATTGAGCTGGATTTCTCTGGCAATTACCACAAAAGTCAGCTCTGTTAGGCTAGCTCTAGTATGTCAAATCCCAAAGAACCAACAAAGTATCATACTTCAAAACATTTTTCATTAAATGGCAAACATTAGTTAAGACTACTTGTAGAGCGCTTTGGGAACAATCTGGAGCGTGTGAATCGTCATCGACCTGCTTATACCCATTCGGCAAACCCGAGGAAATTCCCGAAAATTTACAATGTACAGATTGGTTTCTCTCACAGTAGTACGCCACTTTAGCTGTTTTGCTGATTTATATCTTGGGGAATACGCATCTTTAAAGCTTTTAGATTATCATGGCAGTATAGAAGCGACCACGCCTAACATTAGTGGCTCGCATAGGTTGAATACTTTTCTTACTCCTCTTTACAAGATGGGTGATTTGTTTGACCAGACAATTGTGTACCCACGGTGAGGAATCTGGCAGTCGAACTATGCGAAATATATAGGTCGGTTTTATAGTGAGAACTGAGAACTGAGAACTGGTGCGAAGCAGCGAGTAGAGGTTGCTCTGTGTAGCTGCATCGTTCA